TTTTCAAATTATTTGCAATTGCCAAAAATGAGAATAATTAATTACAAAATATCGAGTTGAAATGAAAACAAAAGCTTTTTATCTATCATAAATTTGTCCATAAATGTTGAAATGTTGAATGATATGATCGAAAGATGTTATATATGGAATTTGGTTTTTTTTATTAACAGAATCTTGTTACAATGATGTTACAATGTTACAATGAAGATTCGAATTAGAAATTCATAAGGAAAATCAAAAAATCAATCATCATCAATGAAAACAATAACAATGGTTTCAAGACAAGATAATTATTTAGGAAGTCCAATCGAAAAATTTATACAATGTTCATCGAATGATTATCGTGATGATCGAATTAGATTTAAACGATGTACACCAAATAAATGTGGTCATTTTGTTACAATGTTGTTAAAATAATTCGTACTACGAAAATAACAGTACATTTATTAAAGATTTAATTAAAAATTAGAAATAAGAATACTCACGGTGATTCTAATGTGAGATTTGAGCTTGATTATTTTTAATTATTTCATTTATATTCGGTTTTATGGTTGACAACGAAACACGTAAATCGTATTCCACGTTGATTATTTTAGACCTTTTTTTGTTTTTAATATTAGATAACGACGAAAATCCTAATTCGCATAAGTAAGATGTTGAGAATTGCAACAAAATATTTAAAGCTATTTTTGAAATTTTAGGAAATTCATGCTGAATTTCAACCCAAAATGAATTGGTCGACAATTCCCGATGCTTAATCTTCCAATAGCGATCATTGGATAGCTTTATCAAATCTTCATATTCATCGATTTTTAAATCGTGAGAAAACGATATTTTTGCGAAAGGATCGCGTATCCAATCGAATTGTTGTATGTCTAATTTAGGAAAATAATGAATAATACGTTCATCGAGTTTGGTCAGATGTTCCACCACATCATTTTTAATTGACTGGTAGTATTCTTGTGAAACGGAAGAAAATTTTTCTAAATTTCCTTCCTTAGTTTTTTTTTTCCAAAATGCGATTTGTCCTTTAAGACTCATTAATTTATCAGTTGACTTGAGTATGTTTTCATTTTCCCCTTGCATACTTGAATTTATATTATTAAATATTGAGAAAATGTCCGATAAATAGGCTAGTCGAGCACACCAAATTCCGTCATCTAACAAATCAAAAAATTCAGAATTTCCGTCATCGTTAAAAAATTGTTTCAAATTTTCTTTCAATTCAAGGACACGCGATAATACTTTCCCCCTAGATAGCCATCTTACTTCTGTGTGTAATAAAAGAGATTGGTGTTTAGCTTCCATGGCTTGACATAATTTTGAAAATAAACGATTTTTCAATGGTCTTGATTTGATGTAATTTACCATTTTCACACTTTGTTCAAGCACGATTTTCAAATTTGACGGTAAAACTTTTGTTACAAGTGCCTCACGGTGAAGGAAACAGTGAGTAAAAAGAATATCTGGATTTATTGATTTTACATAAGAAATAAATCCTTTTAAATGTCCTGTCATAGCAGGAGCACCATCGGTGCACACACCGATGCAGGATTTCCATGAAATTTTGTTTTCATCAAAATAAGTATTGAGTATGTTGTATATATTATGACCGGTAGTTGATTCTGGAATTTCGCGACAGCATAAAAATTGGTTTATAATTTCGTTTTCATGAATGAATCTAACAAATGCAATCAATTGAGCTTTTCCGGTTATATCTGTCGTCTCGTCGATTTGCAAAGCAAAACTTGTACATTCCAAACTTTTTGCTGTTGTTTTTTCAATATTGTTTGACATATCAATGATTCGGCGATGAATCGTATCATTGGAAAATGGAATTTTGCAAATATCATTTGCAGCTGATTCACCAATCATAGTTTTTACAATTATGTTACAAGCTGGATAGATGATTTCTTCTGCTAAATTATGCGGTTTAAATTTTTTTGCGACCAATTCTGCTATAAGATACGATACAAGTTGAGCTTTTTCCGAAACACAAACGTGTTTTTCAAACGCTTTTACTTGTTTCCCTTTCATAGATAAACATTTCTTGAAATAAGTTTCATCTTTAGATGCAATACTCGGATGATTTGTCATTAAGTGACGTTTAAGTTTACTTGGGACAAGACAGCTATTAGATAACTTACAATCACAAATTACACATTGTGGAATATCAATGCCATTTTCAACTGAAAACGAAAATCCATATTGTAAATAGTCTTTGCTATACTTGCGATGAGCAAAGTTTTTTGTTGAACTAAAAATATTCTTGTCGGATATAGGGTCAGATTGGCCGCTAAGGTTATCATTATCACCTTTATCATCGTCGAGCTTTCTTTTAAAAATATATTTATCCATAGTTCGAAGGTTCTGTTAAAATAAAAATAACGGAACTACAATCATTCTTTAAATTGAAAACCAATTAAGGGAATGAAAGAGAAAACATTCATACCTTTTCCTGATTTTCCTTCGCTCTGTTTTCATGGAAAATATGGAGCAATATTGATATTGATATTGATATTGATTCGAATAAGAAATGAAAAATCCAATCATACCGTAAGAAAAATTTACATAACAAGTAAATTAACATTGTGCAATTCGACGCAAATTTGTACCGTTCATATAACATGTAATTTTTGAATGATTCGAAATCAACAAAATGAAAATAATTAATTACCAAATAATTAATGAAAATGAAAACAAAATTTTTTAATTTATCATAAATTTGACCATAAAAAGTTTAAATGTTAAATACAATGTTAGATTCTAAATTTGGATTTGCTGAAGAAGGATATTCTTCATTTGAGATTTGGAATTTGGATTTGCTGAAGAAGGATATTTTTCATTCCTGATTTGAAATTTGGATTTGTTTCATGAAGATATTCTTCATTCCTGATTTGAAATTTGGATTTGTTTTGTCAAGATATTCTTCATTCCTGATTTGAAATTTGGATTTGTTTTGTCAAGATATTCTTCATTTTGCATTTGAAATTTGGATTTGTTTTGTCAAGAT